CTCTTCCAATGCCAGGGCCTGGGTTCAATCCCTGGTTGGGGAATTAAGATCCTGCAAGCGGTGTAGCATGGCCAAATTAATTAATTAATTAAATTAAACTATATGAGCTCTGCATTGTATTTTGGAAAAGGAAAATCAAAATAGGTCAATTTCAGTTCAACTTGTTAAATCTTAAGCTTTTGCAAAAGGCCATTGGTGTTACAGAGAGGATGAGAAGAACTAAGACATGACTGATCCCTTCAATGAACTTATCTGGTTGGGAGAATGGAATAGTTTATATGCAAGAATGTGTGACTTGAGAAATACATGTTTTGGTCATGGTTTTTTTTTTTAAACAAAAAAGATATTTTGTTAACTGAGAAAAGATGTTAAGTGAAACTTCCATAGAGAAGGAACTTTATTTTCAGTGAAATGTTATTCACCACAGTGACATTTTACCATTACACATCATTTACCACCAAATGCACACCCTTAGGCATTTTAGAAAATTCTGGATAAACAAGATTTTTTTTTACACATGTAATAACACTCTTTATATTCTGTTTTCAAGATAATATAAGAAAAGCATGCAAATGCAGATATTTTGCTCCAGCACTTTTTAGTATTTATTGCAATATCATTTTCACTGAATTTACACTGGTGGTAAAATTACACCACTTAGCCTTATACTTACGAAGTATATTTTTGGGGGGTTATGCAATATCTTTTGTAAATGACCATCTCATTGGGCATGAAGGGAGGGCCTTTGTTCTATCTGAACTATTATTTTAATGCTTTATTAGAACTACACTATATAATTTGATCTTCTAGTGTATTTTAAGCTTTTTAAAATTGCGACCTCTATAAAAGGAATGCATTTTACACCATAATCCAGTATATATATGCAGACATATGCCTGTGTGTTTGTGTGTATATAAGTATATAAAATATATTATAGAAACAGAAGTTTCACAAAATAATATTTACTTTTACTGTACATGATAAACTCTAGTATTTTCTATTTTATTTTTTTTTAATGCTGGTTGAACCCATAAATAGATTTTATGAACTACTAATGAGTTGCAGTCCACACTTAGGAAAACATTACTTTAGATCAGGTTCTTGAATATTGTTCCCTAGAATACTAAATGGGTATAAAAGTTGCAAAAGAAAGATATTTTTACCAAACTACCTGAGGAACTTGTTTATTGCTTTTGTTTTATGCATTGTTTTATTGTTTTGTACATTGCTCTTCTGGGTCAGATTGCTTAAAAAAATCTGAGCTAGAATGCTTAAAAAATAAAGTTAGGAAACCACAAATCTGAGTAGTTAGTTACTATTTAATTCAGTTTCTTGGATTTAAAATGTGGTGTTACACATATTATTTTTGTAAAGACCCTATGTGAAATGTGGTTTTTCTGGTCTTGTCATAAATGTATGTAATCCACCCTTTACTCTGGCCAAGTTTCTAGTTTTGTTCACTGTTTTTCATAGGGAAAGTTCTTGAGGAAGGAAGTTTTTCAGGTGTGTGCCCAAGCAGATACAAGGGAACTCTCCCCCTTTTGATGCCGCAATTGTTTTTTTGTTTGTTTGCTTTTTGTTTTTGTTTTTGTTTTTGTAAGCTTTATTATGCTAGTTATGTGATCCTGCTTCATTGCCTCTCCATGCCTTACTTTTGCCGTGTTTCAAATAATGGAAAACGATGGTGACAGACACAATAAGAAAAAGTAAAACATCTTTTGACTTCAGAATGCTTAATTCCTGCGTTTAAAGGCTTCCTTGGGTGTTTTGTGCTATAGTGTACTGGGATGAATCATCTCACCATTACTGATTATAAATTCTGTTTTTGAAAGAGAACATGCAGTTTTTGCTGTACGTATAGTTTAGCAATAACCTATACTAGGAAAGAATGAGGGGGAAGAATATTCTTTAATTCAAATGTCACAGCCTTTGCGTTTAATAATTTTGGGCTTTTAAAATAGTGCTGGATTTTTAATAACTTTATGAATGTTACTTTTTCCCCTCTTTATATTTCTGATTTTGGAAATACAACCAACTTTCACCTTTTCCTGAAATCCAGTATGATGCTTTCAAGGATACATCGTCAAGACTTTCATCATTAGTATGTAGTGCAACACTTCATGTTAAATGTAGAGTTTTACTTTATAAACACCTGATGATGCTAATCATAGATTATAACTTTTTCATAGGTTTGTTATGATGTTTGGGGGAAATGTATGACTAACAAAGCAAAATCTAGTGTTGTGCAATTGTGGCATAATTTAGCACTTGAATAACTTTGTCTTTTAGAATATCAGGATCAGATAAAAATTATTTGCTTCCCTATTCAGGACTAAGATTGGTAGTAGTATCTTTTCTTAAAATAATGAGCCACCCAGCTGACACATACTCATTGCCCTGGAAGACATGTTTCCAGCAGTGTTTTGATATGTACTGAACTATGGCAGCACAGGCCCTACTGTGTTTCATGTTCTGTGTCACAAGCCAGCAGGTGTGAAAGCATCCAGCAGTGATAGATGACACCTGAAGCATCAGTTATGTCCACTCATTTTTTGCTTGATTTGGTTTTTTTATGGTATGTCATTTTGGCCGAGGAAGTTTAGTTATCGCATGTTTTTCTTGGGTTAATATGTCAATAGATTGCCTGAGTTGCTAGACCATATCAGCAGCTCTTAAATGTTCAGGGTAATGTATAAAAGGAAAGATATGCATATTCTAAAAAGAAAAATGAGTGTATAATTACTGATTCAGGATCTAGCTGTGCATGTTTCAGATGATTTGCGTAGAGCAGACTGTTAATAGCTAGGACCCTTCTAGCTGCACCTCCTCATTACAGGCCAATGGTGCATACCTAGATTGGACTTCTTGTCTACCAATTGACCTGTTTAGTAGTATTGCTGTCCTCTATCCCCTCACATACACTTGGCTCTGTACTCCTAGGAGAAGTTATGTGTTGAGACAGTGCTATCTTCAAAGGACTCAGATGTCAGATTATTGTCTAATGATGCTGCTGCCACTCGAGACAATCCATACATACCATGTTGGCTGCTTTCCTCTGAGCAGCACATGCTGTGGCACCACTAACTTGGGTTAAGAGGACTGTCTTGGGCAGTACAATGTTATGTTTTCTGTTCTCAGTCTTGTTTTGATTGATGCACAGGATTGCTTTTTGGCCTTTAGGTAAGGAGGACTGTGGAAGCAAGTAGACTCTCTTGTCACTCATACCTTTTTAAAGAAGATAGTCCCATGGGCAGGGGCTCAAATGAGGTGTGGGGTGAGGGTCCCCACAAATATCCTGCCTGGCTCTGAGTCCTAATTAAGTTTTTAGTTGACTAGACACTGAGCTGGATGGCACAGGGGAGGTGAGGGGGAATGCAGGTGTGTAGAGAGGCTGTGTGTCTTAGCCAGTCAAGGGCAGTGAATCATTTACTAACAGGTGGGAAATAGAGTGCATGTAGACTACTCTGTCTCAGGTGGATCTTTCTGTGTATGATTTTAAGATGAATTTTATTAAATTATTTTTAAACTTCACTATATGATCCTTGTATTCAATATTTACTTCCAGAATCATTCTTACAGTCACTCTGATGGAATGAAGAAGAGATCTTCTGGTTCTCATAAAGACCCACTGGTTAGTTCTGTTGTCTCATATCACAGTATTTTGTGTGGCTGTAAAATTCACTGATTACTTTTACGGAACTGAAGAATTATGACTGCATTGGTGTGCTCTTAAGGCATTATTGAAACTTGATAATATACTGAAACATGACTTATCAGAACTTATTTAAAAATAATTTTGTTTTCATTTACAAGATTTAATATCAAGTTAATATATCTAACCCTAGTGGCTAGCGTTAGGAAAGTGTCCCACGAAGTTCATTAACAATGTATTTTCATTTATGAACTGTCCTTTGGAGGACTATACCTTAAGAATAGGCTTAGTGAGATTCTTATACCTATTTTAGAAATTTGAATTGATTTAGTTGTAGTATTATAAGTAGTACCAAAGTCACGTATAGGTTTCATTCTGAATGATTGTTTTTATAGATTTTATAATTTTGGGAACTTGAAATTAATTTTCTGGTAGAAACAATAAAGTATGCAATGGCAGAGTTCCCATGCTGTCTTGCAGAAGACTCTTCAACCAATAATGTAATTAAACTATGGAACTAATAGTGCTCTCCATTCCAGCAGACCTTGCTAATAAACATTTCTGTGGAGGAAAAAATGTCTAGAGCCCATCTGGGGTGCTAGGAACACCTCTTTCCTGTCAGGTTGCTACAGCACTGGCAGAGGAAGTACGGTCCTAAGCTCCCTGCTAACTCAAGGTTCCCATGGGCAGGGCTCTGACCATTGGTGGGGTGGAGACAGGGTTGGGAGGCTTTGGCTGGTAGCAATGAGGAAGGAGGGGAGAATGAAATGGAGAGGACATTAGTGAGATGCCCTGGTGGGGGCAGTGTTGGGAGCTCTGGGGAGAGGTGAGTCCTGGTGCCTCGGGCAGAGCCAGGAGTTTTGAAAAAAATAACTAATGATTTCTGTGGCATTGCCAAATAGATTATAAAAGTGGTAATTACTGGGCTTCCCTGGTGGCGCAGTGCTTGGGAGTCCGCCTGCCGATGCAGGAGACGCGGGTTCGTGCCCCGTTTCGGGAGGATCCCACATGCCGTGGAGCGGCTGGGGCCGTGAGCCATGGCCGCTGAGCCTGCGTGTCCGGAGCCTGTGCTCCGCAAATGGGAGAGGCCGCAGCGGTGAGAGGCCCGCGTAGCACAGGAAGAAAAAAAAAAAAAAAAAAAAAAAAAAAAGTGGTAATTATTCATTCATCCTGGGTTTTTCAAGGACATTCCTAAGTATGACATGAGAATAAATCATTTATTATTTCCATTCTATTTTGTCTGAGGGTTTATACTCTTGTTTTTAAAGTAAAAAAAGAAAAAAAAATTAGCAATGACTTGGTTTGAGAATAGTTAATATTAATTTTAATATTAATCTTTTTAAATATTAATCTTTAATATTAATCTTTTTTGAGAGACCTGAAATAGTTGTTATTTTCACTTTCACCTAATATGATTCAGTGCTTTAAAATCATTGTTTTGGAGGAGAAGGGGTTTGGCAATATCCGATTTTGCCTCTGTGTTTTTAGGTTAACAGCATTTAACCTAAGAAAAATGAGTTTAATTTTACTTTTTGCAGAGTGGCCTCTACTTTGACCAGAGAAACTATAGCAGTCTTAGACATAGCAAACCCACTTCTGCCTCCTATACTCGGGTTTGTCACAAGTTTTTTGGCTTCATGTGTTTTATCCAACTTTAACACATTTCTAATCCCCTGTTGCATTTTGACTAGTTAGAACTAATCTGTGAATGGCTGTGTATGTACTAGTTTGTGGTAACTGAATTCACATAGTCTGTGTGAGTGTATCTTTAAATAATGGGAACTATTGAATCACCATGTTTAAAATGAGTACCATTTTTTTCCAGTTTTTTTAATGAAAATATTTAACATACCAAAAAAGTTCAAAAAATTGTATAGTAACCACCTGCGTACCTACCACTCAGGTTCTGCAATTGATATTTTACTATATTTCCTTTATCATGTAATTATCTGTCCAGCTGTCCCTCTATCCATCCATCAGTCCATCTTTTTGGGGGGATGCATTTCAAAATAAGTTGTAGGCATCAGTACATATCACAGTGTATGCCCTTTTATTAAAAATATACATATGAGAATTTAAACTGTACGTGAGATGAGAAGAATGTAATTATATTTAATGTTAGAATCTCTTGTTTTTTCAAGGCATTTGGCACATCATACATTTAAAACACATTTAAATATATGGCGCATAGTACATTTGAAATAATTCAGTTGTCAAAACATAACTTAGCTATTTATGTATCTTATTTTCCATGTCTGATCAGGCTTGGTGAAAAAAACTGAAAATTGTGTCTTGAGATGACATCAGGAAAAAGATTTAATTCCTTTTTTTAAAATGCTGTGCCTTGTTAGTATGTGGATTCATTGTGACCAGTACAATTTATCTAATTAAACTAAGGCACTTGGTCCATGGCTTGTTGTGAAATACACGTTTTCTAATCTATTTGGGAGAGTGTTTATAGCAATAACTCAGAGCTCATTTACCTGGTTCCCCAATAATCAGGATAAGCCCATTAGATGTCACAGGAGCTGCTGGGGACTGGGATGTGGACACTGTTTGCCACACTCCCTGTGCCATGGCCCTCTTTTCCTGAGTGTTTTCTTAGGTGCCCATCCCATCTCCTAACACTAATGTTCAAAGACCAATAGGACTTACCCATTTACAGGAAACTGTTCCAGGTGTTTTTCTTTCTTATCCCTTAAAATTGGTATTCAAAGAGATTTCTAATGATTAAGTTTTTCTCACATTGTGTGTCACTTAACTGCCTTAAACACTCAAGAATTACTATTGAATTATGGAGTATAAAATAAATATGTCTTCTACTTGCATAATGGTGAGGCTGATTCTCCTTTTCTTTTTCCCTTTTTTTTTTTTGCTTGTTTTGTTTTGTTTTGTTTTGTTTCTTATCAGTCTTCTTCCCTATACAGTGACCCTCTGGCAACATCTAAGAGCTACAGGGTTAGTACTTCCTGGGGAGTATGGTGCCTTCATAGCTATCAGTTGCTTTTCTTGGGTTAAATCATGTGCTTTCTCCATAGGCCTCCCCTACTGCAAATTCTGGTCTTCTGAGAAGTGCCAGTCTGGTGTGTATTTTCCTCTTCCAACGTGTGTACTCCTGGTGGGGCCATTGTCACGGTGCTGACTCTGGCTTGCCATCTTTCCTCCAGAACAGTCAAGGACACATGGCTTTAATGCTATGTGTACTGCAGACTGTGCTGCCTGTGCTTAAAATACAAAACTTTTGAGGAGCAAAAATGAGCATATCATAGTGGTAGATACTGCTGGCTGTTGGTAGGCCCTTGCTTAGAATTGGCTTCCTGTAGAGGAGGTAGACTTGCATGGGTTGCACTACACTTGCATACTTTTGTGAGATGGCTGCCCAGGCATGGGGTGTCATATTTTGGGGGGGAACAGCTGTGGCCTTGGCCATGTTAATACTAGACTCTAATGAAGCCAGCTGACTAGAAAGACAAAACAGTAGCTCTGTGTAATGTGCGAGGTGGAATTGGTTGCTTTCAAGCTGTTGTTTGTTGTCTTGTGGCCTGTTCTAGTGGACTGGGAACCTGAGGCTTTGTACTTAATTTTATCGTAACAGTGGGCAAAATGCTTTCTGTACCTCACTTTCTTTACTGTACCTTACTTTCTTTTCTGTTCTATTTCCTCTTTTGAGAGAATAAAGTCGTAAATGTTCTCATTTCATAACATGATGATGAAAGGCAGTGCTGTAACGAGTGGTGCTTTTTAAATGAAGTGTGATTTTGAAGTTTTAATGAGGCTGACGCAGGAATTTATGCATACATAAATGAGTGTTACCACCTCGGGAGGCTGCACACGTTAACACCATTCTTCAAAACTTTTGGAACTAGGTACTGCAAAGAAGTTATGTCATTTTCAAAATAACTTTGATGCTGAATAGATAAATGGCATTTCCTTTGTTCTTTAGGCGTCATTGTATGATGGTGGATTATATAACCCTTATGGTTCTCGAACTGTAAGTCTAAGCAGGTGGAGGTGGTGAGGAGGGTGGTGTGTAGGTGGGCACAGTTTACTTACAGAGTCATTTAATCTGACCTATAATTACTCTACAAGCTGTGGTCCATCAGCTTGCCAATGGTGGCTCTCACCCAAGCTGCGAGAAGGCACCTGCTGGAAACTGTGGCTTAAAGTATGAAGGCAATACAAGTAGGGAAACCTCTTTTCTGGCTCATTAGTTCTCAGGAAGAGGCTGGGAGCAGCGCTTCTCAGGGCCTTTCTTCTCCCTCCTGCTGTGGGCTGCTGGATGGTGAGGGTGGGAGTGAAGAAGAGTTCAGGCCGGGGAGGAACAGTTATCTTCACCTGAGAGCCAGGGGCGAGTTAGGTCCAGGGGCACTGATGTATTCCCAGCAGGAAAAGGAGCTGATCGTTAATTGTAAAACCTTTCTTCTTGGAAACTTCATAGCCATCTGAATACAGTTTTCACTCATCAAGAACAAGTTCAGCCCGAAGCAGTCCTGTGGTGAGCTGTCTAGTCTCTTTGCATGCTTTATAGACACTTTTGATTGTTTCATTAATCTGTACTCACCGTTCAGAATATTGAGGATGTGGTGTGTTTCACTCTATTGTGCATGGATTATCGTTTTCCTTCAGTACACAAACTCAAGAACTAATTTGTCCTAACCGGTGGTTTCTGTATGAATGTGACTTAAGCACGTAATTTCTTAAATGAGTCTGGAACCAGTGCCATCAGAATTTTTTTTTAGTTTATATATAACTGTCATTTGTGTGGAAATTCTTGTCTTCTCAGTGGTGATAATTTAGACTATGAGTTGGTTGCCCTATCCTTTTCCTTTCTCCTTTTCATGTCTACTTCCTACATTGAACCATTTCACTTGCTTACCAGCCTGTCAATCAGTGGAGTGGGAGGAGAAGAAATCAAATAAGTCAGCTTTTAAAAATTGCTCCAGGGCTTCCCTGGTGGCGCAGTGGTTGGGAGTCCGCTTGCCAATGCGGGGACACGGGTTCGTGCCCCGGTCCTGGAGGATCCTGCATGCCACGGAGCGGCTGGGCCCGTGGGCCACGGCCGCTGAGCCTGCGTGTCCGGAGCCTGTTGCTCTGCAACGGGAGAGGCCACAACAGTGAGAGGCCCGTGTACCGGAAAAAAAAAAAAAAAAATACATTTAATGTTTTAGTTTGGGAGAGAAAATAAAAGAATCTTCTTAAGTGAAATAATATAAGTCAAAGACAGAATTTCCTACCGGTAAGGACACTGAAAGGATTCTTACTGTCCTTTATTCATTCCTATGCAGCAGGTGGAGATATTTCTAATATCACCACACAGTTTTCTTCCTCTTTCACCAGCAGTGGAAGACTCATCTTCAATATATGTAGGTTGCCTCCATTCTGACATCACTAAGAAACCATTCTGGCATCACTGGGATAATACCTCTGAGCCCACTTGCAAATGAAAGAGCATTTAGCCAGCACACACGGACAAGATTCTACACTTGACTGAAAATATTACCATAATTTTGTTTGCAAGGGACCATCACAGTTGGGACACTAAAAATGCTACCAGGCCCAAGAACTGCCAAGTGGAATTTTATTACCCGGTGGGTTAAAAGTAAACTTCCCCCTTATGTGAAAACATCCCTGTAATAACTTTTATCTCCTTTAACATCCGTGTAATAACTTTTTGTTAGCTATTAGAGTAGAATTCTTGGTAAGTGCCACTTGGAAATGGCAGAAGAAATGAGCCAAACATATATGTAGAAGAAAGTCCATATATCTTACCTATTCCACCCCACAAAGTAACCTATGTTGACCATTAAGAAACTGCTTAATAATTTCTCCAATTTTGACACTGTCAAGAATAACAAGGTAGTTCCTAAAGTCATCATTTGTTATTGAAAATGTTAATTATTAGAGTTTTTTGGTGGGTAATATGGCAATATGTAGCATAATTTAAATGTAAATACTCTGATTCCCATCATGTCATGATTAGCAATTTACCATGCAGATCTACTCATACAAGTCCACAAAAATATACCTGTATAAGCATGTTCATTGTACAAGTGTCTGTAGTAGCAAAACTCTGACAACCTAAATGTCCATCAAAACGGGAGCAATTTTTCAAATTTACAGCCCAGGCACTAATGGAATGATCCATTGCCATTAAAAAAAAATGTGCTGACATAAACCTATCTCCAAGAGGCACTCAGTGGAAACAGTAACGGACATGGTTTACTTTTTAAAATCTTTTAAATGTCAAAAAAAGAATGAAAAAAAAAAAGACTGACAAAAAAATGAAATAGATCTTTATATACTGATTTGAAAAGATACTTTGAGTAAAGAAAACAAGTTGAAGAGCAGTATATGTATACAAGTCATTTACATACTGTTCAAATAAAGGACACTCATATATACCTGAAATATCTCTGAAAGGATATACAAGAACAGAGGTTGCATTTGGGGAATGGATATAGGACGAAAGGGTCAGAGAACTTTTATTTTGTACTTTCATTAAGCTAATATTACATTTATAAATTTTAAAAAAAGTTCGCGGGCCTCTCACTGTTGTGGCCTCTCCCGTTGCGGAGCACAGGCTCCGGACGCGCAGGCTCAGCAGCCATGGCTCGTGGGCCCAGGCGCTCCGCGGCATGTGGGATCTTCCCAGACCAGGGCAAGAACCTGTGTCCCCTGCATCGGCAGGCGGACTCTCAACCACTGCGCCATCAGGGAAGCCCTAAAAGAAGTTTTAATACTCCAGAAAGACTGGGTGATTAGAATTGTCCCAGTTTTCTGTAGCAATTTTTTTTTTTTTTTTGCGGTATGCGGGCCTCTCACTGTTGTGGCCTCTTCCGTTGCGGAGCACAGGCTCCGGACGCGCAGGCTCAGCGGCCATGGCCCACGGGCCCAGCCGCTCCGCGGCATGTGGGATCTTCCCGGACCGGGGCACGAACCCGTGTCCCCTGCATCGGCAGGCAGATTCTCAACCACTGCGCCACCAGGGAAGCCCCTAAGTGTATTCATTGACTCCTGATAGGACCCCAGAGGGCCTAGAGGTTTTAAAAAGAATGAAGTCCCTGGTTGGTTTTGGCCAGTAGAGTCATGCCCCCCGCCCTTTTCTTTCATTTAACTTAAATAAAAGATGAAGTACTATTTTATTCTTTGTGCTTTTGGGAAATATCTTTTGGTTTTTAATGATCGTTCTTTATGCCTTGAAACAGCTTTTTGGTTTAATGGTGCACAATAGATGGTGCTAATTATTATGCTCATGGAGAGTGTTTGTGTGCTTCCCAAAGCCTTACCTCATGTGCCTTCAGTCAGGGAAGACCTGTAGTGAAATTGCACCTTTTTCATTATCTGCTTTTAATATCTATAGTTTATCGACGATGACACTGCAAGCATTGCTGCTTCTGGTCGTGCCAGCCGTGGGCGAAGGGAGAGTGTGGTGAGCGTGATTTGCATGCAGACATATACGATGAGTTTTTAAATTGCAGCACTGTGTGGTCACGTGAAATCTGTTGGAAAATGAAATTTGCACTTGACACAGTGAGCGTTTTCTTCAAATTTAGTTTATATGAATAATTTGCCTTCAGAAATGTATTCCTGAGAATACATTTTCTTAGTGGGCTATGTAAGCTTTCCTAGTGACACCTCTTATGTGCTATAGTCATTGTGTACTTGACAGATTTTCACTTTTAATTTTTTGTTGCTATTTTATGCACGTGCATGTATGTGCACAATTCACCAAAACCAAAAAATTTCTCAAGCAAAATTAATGCCTCCACATTGTTTAAAACTCATTACTATGGATTAGAAATCATGCTGCCATTAATTAGTTGTTTTCTTCACTGTGTATTTAAATTTAACCATAGTTTATACATCTTTTAAGGCCCATGAATACTTTTGAGTTGCTGATGACAAAATTTAAAAATTTTGGTCTTAGAATTCAACTAGAGTTAGAATTATAGAGGTAACAAATAGCTATGTTAGAATACAAATTATATAATTTCAGGTTATTCTTTTGATGAAGCAAGAAATTTTACAGAGGGCTGATGACATTTTTGCTATACTTAAAAATTGATTTGAAAATTACATTGGTGAGGATGGTGTGTCAGCTTAGAGCTAAAACAAAAGAGCCCAATAAGTAAGAGGCTATAATTCCTTTAAGAAAATAGAAGGTCATTTAATACAAGTCATGTTTTGTGAAAGATTGTAAACACAAAGTTTTCATAGAAAAGAGGAACAGCAAGAGTTTGTGAGCTTTGTTGCCAGAAATCCAGTGATCTAATTAAGACAGTTGTGGTCCATTGGCAAGCCAGTTAATGCTCATACTCAGAGCTGCAGGAGAAACAACAGTTCATGACACCTGAAAGTACCCCAGAAAGTGATGGAGTGGAAAGGGCAGGGGCTCTGAAATGATGATGCCTGGGCTTGGACCATTTCTCCAACCTGTTAGTTGTGTTAATGGCGATTTCTTTATTTGTACAATGGGCATGTAATGACTATCTTTGTAGGTAGGCTTAATATTATGGATTAAATGAATTACTATATAGAAAATAGCTATCAAAATTCTGAGATAGTGGGTACCGTTATATTATTACATGTAAAGTTGTATTACTATGAACAAGAATGCTATTGCTTGATTTTCTCAGCTCTTAGCAAAACTTCATATTTGTAAGCCTTAAGGAAGGCATCTCTGTGGATGGGCTTCCAGATTCCTTTCTGGAAGAGAAGAGTTTTTGAGCAAGGGAATCAGACAGAGCTGAGGTAAAGAACAGCTGATGAGTGAGGTAAAAAATATTCATTATTTATTAATTCAACAAATGTGTATGGAGGGAGTACCTGTTATATGTGAGGGACCATGTTAAGTGCTGGGAATAATGTGGTAAGCCACATAGACCAGATTTCTGACTTCTTGGAGCTTATATCCTGGTGAAAGAAATAGAAAATAAACTGATAAAGATAGGAACAAAAAAGAGAAAGTAAACCCGGGGACTATGAAGAGAAAAAGCAGGTGATATTATAGAAGACATTGAGTGGTGTGTGTGTGTGTGTGTGTGTGTGTGTGGCAGAGAGAGAGAGAGAGATCACCCTTGGATGGGGGTGATCAGAGAAGGCTTCTCCGAGGGAGTTGACCTTTGAGCTGAGAGTTGAGCTGCTTGAAGAGCTGGGAGGAGAGCTTCCTAGGCCAGTGCCAACGGCAAAGGTGGGAAGAGACTGGGTATGTTTGGGGAACCAGAAAGAGGCCAATGTAGTTCATTCATTATTTTGTTCTACAGTTCTCGGTCCTGAGGAATACGAAAAAGAGGAAACTGTGGAAATTGGTAAAAGGCACAGTAAATACTCTGCAGATAGTTCCGCATTCAGGATATATGTGCTTAACAGAGCTGATAGCTATAATGCATTATACATTTGTGAAATATAGTAGAGGCTTTAGGTAAATGCTATCCTAGAATCCCTCATGGTGAGGGTGATGCTGGTTCTCAGGCAGTACATGGATGATCTCTATAGCATAGGACTCTAGCTAAGATGAATAAGAGCTTATTTTAGGGAGCTGTGATGTCATTTAGAAACCCTTTACATTCCTTTCTCACCTTGAGTAGGTAAGTCACAGCAGTTTCCTCATTTCATTTCATGATACTTTATCACACACCAAAAAAAAAAATTTCCCCCATATGCCAATGTTCTTATCTTTTGCTTCTCTCTCTTCTTAACTTTTAAAGCATCTCATTTTTTTCCTGACTGAAAGGTTTTTGCAGCTGATTATTTTAGTCGCTCCAGTCGTAGGGGGAGCGTGGTCTCTGACATGGATGATGTCAGCATCCCAGATCTGACCAGCGTGAGTGCAGCACATGGGGATTCACTGTCTCAGGCTTGTGACTAACAGCTAACAAAATAGCTATTTTTAAATTAGGAACTTAATTTACTGCCTAGGAAATATTTATTTCAGCACACTAGCATAAAATACAGTTATTGGTTTTGTTTTGAAATGTATATATTGATATGTTCTGATTTTTTATAACATTTTTCCTGTGGAAATTTTTCCCCATAGAACCCAGCAGCAGCTCCAACAATTATCAATATTTTGCCAATTTTGTTTCATCTATTTCTTCCCCTTTCCCTCCTTTTTTTCCTGAAGTACTTTAAAGCAAATCCCATACATCATGCCATTTCCCAATAAATAGTTCAGTATGCGTCTCTAGTTGAGAACTTTTTTCTTTATTTATTGTGCCATTATCATACCTAATGAAATGAAAAATAACTCCTTAAAACCATCTAATACCTAGCCCATATTTAGATATTCCTGATCAGTCTTAAAAATTTTTTTCCCTTTTCATTTTGGAGAATCTATAAATTTTTAGGTAAACTTTGAAGGCTGAACAATAAAATATTCCTACTTAGCAAAGAGTCACTAGCTTATAGTAACTGGGAAGAATCTGAATAGATTTTGAACGTTTGGATTATGGCATTGTTTTGAAGAAATGCCAATCTATTGCTTTCACATTCATTGGGAACTGAATTTAGGAAAGACTGTCCAGTAGAAATGCCTTGAGGCATTTACCTTAATGAAGGAACCTAGACCAGCAGATGTCTACCTGCCTGATGTATGTAACAGCCTGATTATCTGTCTGTGACGTCTCTCTGTAACTGGCATTAGTGTTGTTTGCCCTTGGACCAACGCTGTCCTAATTATCAAGCACTTTGAAGCAGATGAGGCAGGGTTTCTTAACAAAAAATTAGACAGTTTTTTAATGAAGAGAGAATTATTTATATTTAGCACGTCATCAATTGTATTTAAATAGCTATTTCTGAATGACTAATCCTAGAAAACAATTTTGAGTGTGTCCTTAAGTATTCCAGATTGTTGGCGCTCAAAGCTGGCTGGCTGAGCAACAGTGCCATCTTGACCTTGGTCACATCAACAGTCTCTCTGCACACAAAGTTAGAAGACTGGCTCCCAAGTCCTTCCCTTGAAATATTGCCCATTTTATTAATTTGCTTAGTAACCTGTTTTTTCATAGATATAAACAATTTAATTTATTGTGTACACCTTTTCTCTTAAAAACTTTGAACTCTATTAGCATCTAATGTGATGTCTGAATTATTGGCTATGTCCTCCTTACGTTTATTTCTTGGCAATTTATTTTAGTAACTACACAGGAGTGAAAAGGTTGACAGTTTTTTTTAGTCTTCCACTGCCTCTACTAATTAAATAAAACTCTTTTCTTTTGCCAGGTAGTTATTTTGATCTGTCTACATATTTAAATAAAAAGTATACATATTTAAGGTATATAGCATAATGATTTGATATACATGTATATAGGCTGTGTATATGTGTATCGAGTCATGCTGTATACCTTGTAACATAAGCACAAGCTTCTCTAGAACAGTGGTTGGCAAATCTGGCCAGCCCCCTGTTATTTTATAGCCTACCAGCCAAAATTTTCTTTGTTTTTTGTTTTTTAATGGTTATCTAAGTACCTATATAATATCCTTAATTTTACCTCTTGGCAAAGCCTAAAATATATGTTGGACCCCTCTCTAGAGCAAAAAAATTTGGAATAAAATACATCTTTATTTCTAAACAACTCTTTCAAATGATGGTATTAAAATGTGTTCACGGGGCTTCCCTGGTGGCACAGTGGTTAAGAGTCTGCCTGCCAATGCAGGGGACACAGGTTTGAGCTCTGGTCCGGGAAGGTCCCACATGCCGCGGAGCAACTAAGCCCGTGTGCCACAACTACTGAGCCTGCGCTCTAGAGCCCGCGAGCCACAGCTACTGAAGCCCGCGCACCTAGAGCCCATGCTCTGCATCAAGAGAAGCCACCGCAATGGGAAGCCCGCGCACTGCAACAAAGAGTAGCCCTCGCCCACCACAACTAGGGAAAGCCCGTGCGTAGCAACGAAGACCCGATGCAGCCAAAAAAAAAAAAAATGTGTTCACAGCTAGAATTCTGTTTCCACTCAAAAAGGTTCAAATTGTATTTTACCATTCTAGTAGGATAAAATTATCTGTCAAAGTAGCCATTTGCTGAAATGAAGGTCAAAGGGCCTGTTAATCAGAGAATAAGAAATATCTTTCTTTTAAGAAGAAACCAAGGGTTTCAAAGATTTGACAAGATATGTATTCTAAGAAATATTTCTCATGTACTAATTTCAACAAATAAGGAGTGTAGATTTAAAGAGAAACAATCTATACTCTGATGTCAAGAGCAAAGCATTTTCAGATTTCCCAGACATAAATAAGGCAAAGGCATTTACCACTGAAATATGAAAAAGATGATATTTAAGACTTTGTTTATGAGTTGATAATTTGAAATTCTTAAAAGAAGCAATAAAGTTTGCCATCATGTGCTCTTCTTTGTGCATTAATATGAAATATTATTGATACAAGCCTGTCAGCTAACTTTCCATTTCCAGCTATCAAGGGAACCCTTTTCTTGATTGGAAAATTACCTATTTAATTATTTAGGAGTGTAATGGCATAATATTTACCTGAAAGTTTTTGAGAATAGTAGGCTGTAGTCAGTATTCATGAGCAAGTCCTGAGGGCTTTACTAAGGAAAAAAGCCTTGCTTTCTGTTTTGTTGTTGTTATTTTATATTTTAATCTACCATTTTGTTTAGCCACTTTTTTTTAAAGCAATTTGATGACTTATTTTCCATATTTTTCTCTATCTCAGTTTAATTTGCTTGTTTTACAAAAATGTGACTATATAGTACATATAGCCTTTGTTTTCTGATTTTTCATATTATTGCATATTTATTTTTTCCATGTTATTCATATATAACAATTTTTAAAAATCAGCTGTAGTCACCATGTTTTACATTAGATCCTCAGACCTTATTGATCTTCTAGCTGAAAGTTTGTACCCTTTTACCAAGATTTCCCTCTTTTATACCTTAGTATATTAAACATGATTATGTCTTATTCCACTTAAGAGCCTTTTGAGGATCTGGCAGACTCTTTTGGTCATCATTTTGAACACTAGCTTGTCGTTGCAATGCAGCTATGTAGACCTCCCAGGGCTTTTAGAATACCAGGTTTCAACTAGCTTTTCGTCTAAACGGAAGGCTACATATAATGCAGCACGAGCCTGAAAAGTGAGCACTGAAGAGTCTCTGGCCAATTCCCTGCAGCAGGGCTGCTCTAGGCATTTTTGCTACCTCCACAATCCCTGAAGTTTGGCACATGATCGGCTTGGGCAGGTGCGGCAGTTGGGATCTGTCAGGAGATAGCGAAAGCAAACAGAATCAGTCCTGCAATGGACTGGGTCAACGATGCAGCCTCTGAAATGTAAGATTATTCTCAGGTGACTGTCTGTTAAAAAATGGATGGGTTTGGGGGTCATTTGTGTGAGAGTGGGATAAGAGACAGGATTTCAAATGGACCTGGAAGAATGTTTTCTGAATGCTTCTTGTTTTTCTCTTTAACTCATTAGTAGAAGAGAGTTGGAAGATACTCTAAGGAAAATAAGTCAGTTTATTTAGATATGGTATTTCTTTCACTCTGAGGAATAACACATTAAATATTAGGCAATATATTTTACTAGTATAGATGTGAGGAAGATAATTCCTTTCTATGGCAATAACTGCCAATATTAAAAACTATTGTCATCGCCTGTTTTAAAACATTTCGTATGTGGTTTAAAGAAGTCAAAATGAACTAAAATCAGTTCCTTTTTTTTAAGAGTATTACAGTAAGAAGTAGCAAAAAGAATTTGAAGTCTGAGATAGTATTTATATTCTGATTTGGTACTTATAATAAAAGGTGTTTACTGAGACAGAAAATGAACACAAATAAATGTCGGTAATAAAAAAACAGAAAAAACTGTCAAATATGAGGAAGTTAGAGTGAAGTGATCTGAACTGAGCCAGAAATAATGACATTTTGTGTTTTAATAATTAACTAAGGAAGGTTTTCAAATCTCTTCTCTAGATTGGGCTGGGAGGGTTGGTCTAGGAGTTGGGAGTCTGGGTATATTTTCATTTAGTTAAATTTTTCTGTGACTTTTTTCCCCCAGTGGTAATTTGGACAGTATATACAGGTAAATAATATGAAAAATTCACAAAACTGAGGTCTGGATTCAGCTCTGATGTTTAGTAGTTATGCATGCTTCAGCAAGATCTTTCACCTCTGAATTTCTCTTTCCTCAGCTATAAAATCAGGGCTTTAGACTAAACCGTTAAGGTACTTCCCTTCTTGAAACGCCAACTAAAACAACCATAAGGCCTATCTGCAGAAGATAGCATAACTCAATTATGGTATGTCCAGATAATAGGGTACTATGCAGCTGTTAAAATAAATGAGGTAAGTCTGTAAGTACATATGGGATATAATTCATTTATTCGTTCATCCAACAAATTTTGAGTCCTGTATGCCAGGTGCTATTCTTTTTTTTTGTTTTTTTTTTTGTTTTGGCTGTGTTGGGTCTTTATTGCTGCGCACGGGCTTTCTTTATTTGCGGTGAGCGGGGGCCACTCTTCATTGCGGTGCCCGTGCTTCTCATTGCGGTGGCTTCTCTTGTTGCGGAGCACGGGCTCTAGGCACACAGCTTTCAGTAGTTTTGTCTCGCAGGCTCTAGAGCGCAGGCTCAGTGGTTGCGGCACACGGGCTTAGTTGCTCCGTGGCATGAGGGATCTTCCCAGACCAGGGCTCGGATCCCTGTCCCCTGCATTGGCAGGCGGATTCTTAACCACTGCACCACCAGGGAAGCCCCAGGTGCTATTCTTGGTGTTAGGAATACAGAAAAGAACATACAGACATAGAGCTTACATTAAAGAGACAGAGATCAGACAATTAATAAATAAGTTTATTTATTAATAAATAAGTTAATAAATATCATGGGGTCAGGGAGTGATAAATGCCATGAAGAAAAATAAAGTACTTTCTCTGATCTCTGAAACATGGTAAGGGGAAAAAGAAGATATGGAATGTATTTGGGACACTACTGTTAGAATTTTTTAAAGACTGGGTGTAGGTTGCCCTTGAAGATCTGGGTATGGTGTACCTCTAGAGAGAGGCTTACTTTGCATACTCTTTGTGCTGTTTTTTTCTCTTTTTTTGGATACATGAGCGTGTATTACTTAAAAAGCAAAAACAAAAACCAGGCAACCAATTTCCTTAGTGCTGTGGGGAAATTTTTTTGATGATATATTTTACATGCTCTAGTCCAAACTGAACGTTTTTGTCTAAGTATGCTAGTCTTAATATGTGTGTCCTATGTCAGTAATGCTAAGATAATAAAGTTTTTTGGCTTTTGGTTTTATCAGAATTTTCTTTTTGATGTATACACTTTTGTGTGTGTGTGCGTTAACTTTTACAATGATAAAATTTAAGTTTAATATATAGTTTTCTTTAATATGTTTCAAATACCATGAAAAGAAAATCTGTGTAAAAGTTCTAAATTTTTTCATAAGGACGGCTTGCTTACTCCATGTCTTCCTTAGATAAGAATTAAAGTTCTTAACATCTTGTTTTATGTATCCCAACTTTTATTTCAGGTTTAGTATGTTTGCTTTTAGGTTCCAAATATCGATTGAACTTGGAGAACTCAAATGAGGTCACTTCTTTTTTTTCCCCATAAAAAAATCAAAATGCTAAGCATCTTTTCTGATTTTTATCTCTGTTCTTTTCTAGTTGGATGAAAAATCTGACAAACAGTATGCTGAAAATTACACAAGGGTGAGTATCTAAATTCCTAAGGAAATTAAGTTCTTAAGTTCTCAACTTACTGTCTACTACTATTTTATTCTTGATTTTACAACAGTTTAACTGATGGAGCTACTCTTCCTCTCTTCATCTACTTCCTGTCCTTGACCCCCAGATTCCTCTGTGGTTGAATCATGTGAAGCACTGGGAAGAGAAAAGACACTGCATTTTATTTCCTTGAATGTCACCTCTTAAACGTTTGGCTGCTCTTTTGATTTTCATTCCTCTAGAATTTAATCCTTAGAAGAAGCCATTAAACACTGAAAATGAAGAAGTGTCTTTAGGAATGGTGGTGACAAACGCTGAGGGGTTTGGTTTTTTCCTATTACAGATAAATTATTCTTCGAAGTACAATAAAATAACTACTTTCTAGGAGTTGCTTTGTGTTTAAAAAATCTCTAATTTTCTTCTAGAAATATTTTTAGAAAGTCATCTTAGGGAAATTTATCAGGATTAATTTTGTGCTATGCCCCCAAAAGGTGTACCAGTTCTATCCAGCAGAAATACAGTGCAAGCCACAAATGTAAACCACATATGTAAGTTGAAATTTTCTAGCAGCCACACTAAAATAGTAAAAAGAAACAGATAAAATTAATACAAATAATATATTTTATTTAACCCAAATGTCCAAAATATTTAAACATAATCAATATGAAAACTTATTAATGAAATATTTTACATTCTTTTTTCTACACTAAGCCTTCGAAATCTGGTGTGTATTTTACACCTAAAAAAAAAATTCTCAATTTGGACTAACCACATTCCAAGTGCTCAATCACTGCATGTGGCTAGTTGGCTGCTGTATTGAATAGCACAAATCCCTGCCATTTATTAATTCAGTAGCATGAAGTCGCATTTAAACTCATTGTGGGAAGAGCAGTCTAAATTCATAGTGATACACAGTATTGTTGCTGTCAGCTGCAAATAGTATCTCCAATTTTATCAGCAAAGTATTAGGAAAAGAAAAGATTCTAAAGAAGCAGCTTCAGGAACTAAATAGGAGGACTGCTAATTAGCATACCAACTATAACATTCTAAAACTGTTTAAAATCAAGCAGATGTACTCACCCCAGTGCTGTTTACAATACAGCAAAGATAAACTTAGAAAACAGACAACTCTCACACGAACCATTTCCTTCTTAGTTATTAGGAATTCTAGATTCCAGTAAAGCGAGCGAACACAGTTGTGCTTAGTATGCCTGGGCCCATCTCTGGGTACCCTCTCCCCAGAGCCAATCTGAATTGCCTGTGGATTGCATTCGGTAACTTCTTGTCCACACTGTGTTATATCTCTCCCCACCACCCTGACCCACTTTTAGTTTCCACAGCAAATATATTTTTAAAGAAACAAGACTTAAAAGTGCCATATTTCTTTTTCTCTAGCCTTCATCTCGAAATTCTGCCTCAGCAACAACCCCTCTAAGTGGAAACTCATCCAGACGAGGAAGCGGGGACACCAGCAGCTTAATAGATCCAGACACCTCATTAAGTGAATTGCGGGTAAACCGCGATTTTTGGTTTGCTTTTTATAAACAGTTTTTTGGCTTCTTTGTAGTCTAGTGGAACTATTTAACATTTAATGTGTCTTGGTAGGAAGAAAAAAGTATGGTATGAGTTCTTTAAAAAAAATTGTTAGTGCAATTCAAGAATGTGACTAGGGTCTGAAGGGAAGGAGATTAGTTAGTTCTTCCATTCTCTTTCCTGAACATTTGATGATACTGGAGTGAGTTCTGCTAATTTACAAGTGCCAAAAAATCTTTCTAATGTATATAAAAGTAATTCTCTCAAATAATTGGCCATATTTTAAATGGAAAATATGTGGATGTACAAGGAACCAGATTTGGGGGATTATTAGTCTTTTGAGCCGTTATGGTGTTATTTGGCTGCCTGAATACAGTTATCTCTCAGTGTTTCATGATAAGACAAGTATAATAATATTTGGGATGACAGAAATACCTGAGTAATGTAAGCTCATTTAACCCATTAGTTGAGTCTCCATTCTTATTAATAACCCTTTCAAAATGTATTTGAATGTCTATTTGCTGAACATGCTCTTTTTGAGGAACGAGGGAAGGGCAGTAATAAAAATTGCATTATTCATTCGTTCAACGTTGTTGAGCACTTGGCCCCACAGAGTCAGGCAGTAAAGCACACTTTGGACTTAAAGAGTTCGCTGTTTCATAGGGAAGACAAATGGATATAAACCAGTAAAACCGGGTGGTGTGATGCCATGGTAGTAGCAAGAATAGGGCTGTTGAGGGAATTCAGAGAAGCATCATCTAAATTAGACTAGAAGAAGAGATTTTAAAAAAGGCTTTTCGGAGGAGACAAGGGGTGAAGGAAGAATAAAAATTAACCAGGCAAAGAAGCTGAAGGGTGAAGGCTTTCTCAGATAGTTAAATTCAGAGACCCACAAGATTATCTCTATAGCAAAGTTGCCAGAGGATAGGATGAGAAGTGAGGATTCGTAGTGGGTGAGAGAGAAGGCTGGAGAAGTAGTAATGGGCCATATCACAAAGCACCTTGTGTGGCAGGAATTCAGGTTTACCCTGACAACTAGGGGATATTAAATAGTGGAGCAGTACTATCTGATTTGCATTCCTAAAGATTGACCACAGACTGGAAGAAGCATTGGAGGCAAGGAGAAGAGTTACCCTGTGGTTGAAGAATGGGGATGAGATAAGCAAGTCAAAACTGTGATGGGAGAAAATGTAGGCAACTTGCTCTGAAGAGAGTATTGGAGAATGGAAGTTGTTTGGTCAGTACAGAGAAAGAGGAAGTTAAGAGGTTTTTGTGTTCTTTTAAAGGCAGCATTAGTTGTTGTTTTCATTGGTTGGATTGAGCCAGTAGAGAGAGACTATGAAGGTCAAGGAAGGAGAAGGGGTAGCTGACTGAGAAAGTGCCTGAGTGGGTGAGAGGAATGTCCAGGGATCAGATGGATGGAAGGTGGCCGCCCCTTCCCACTGACACAGTAGAGGAGGAGGGAGGGACCGGTGGGGACTGAGTAAGATTGTGGGTGGGGTAGGAGCAGGAGTCTGGCTTGTGAAATGGGCAGCTCGTAAAAGTGGGCTGAAGGTTAGGAGAGGGTGAGGACTGGAACAGCGGCAGCGGCACTGCAGAAGGAGGCCCAGGTCAGCCTGGCTCTGACTTTGAAGGGGTCAGTGTTATTGAACTCTTCCTAAGTACCAGGCATAAGCACAAGGGTGCAACGTTGAATAAGCTTAACTCTTGCCTTTAGGTGCTATTTTCTAGTGGGACAAAAGGATGGGGCATTCCAGCCTCAGACTGAGCTTATGCTCGCTGTTTACTTGTATTTCTTCTTTGAGAGAACAACCTCCTTGAAAGAAATGAGATTTTTGTATCCTAGCATTTGGCTCCTAATAGGCACTTGATAAATGTCTGTCGAATGAACCAATGAATAAAAGACCTACTAAGGAGGGAATGAAGGGAGCAGGGGAAATATAATATAGAAACTCTGAGTAATGGGCCTTTGATAATTGATCCTGCCTGTAATTGTACAGTTACGTTTAGGGCCCTGTAGCAATTATTTCCCCCCTAAATCAACCATCCAGAGTAGACCTTATGTAGCAAGGTCGGGTACAAGGGAAACAATATTTTCCATTTAAAATTTGGCCAGCTTCACTTTTCTTATAAGGATTATGGTTACATTTGGAGCAAAGGCTTTTCTCATCATTTAAATGATGTCCTCAGGATAGACTCTCTCATTTGACATTGTGTTTAAAATATTTGTTTAATACCCCTCCCTTTACTTATCTTTCTCCCAAATTAATTGTGGTCAGTAACCAAGTCATTGAAAGACAACTTTGTTCATATCTAGTTTTACATTTTTTAAAACTTCTGCATGACTCAGTAGAATCTTCAGCTTATAATTAATTTGCTACATATTTTACTAGTTATCAGTGGAGTGTTATGCTAAAAATTATTTGAATGATTGATAGTTTTTTAAATTGTATGTTAAAAAATGTTATAACTTATATAGCTTTTGTACACAGCCCCAGCCCCATTTGCTAATGTTTTTTCCACAGGAGTTAATGTCAAGGAAGTATTTGATATGTTAGAATGATTACTCCAGGCCTTCCTCCGCCCCACGATCACCTGCCTGTTTGCCCCTTTTAGCAGTTTGCAGTGGCAGTTACGTTTGTGTACCTCAGTTTCTCTGCTTTTAGTCTGGAATATGCAAAAGTAATTCACATTTTCATCTGAATCCTTTGAGACTTTGTGTGTGGTTTTATGCAATGGTTCATTCCTATGTCCTGCAGGATATCTATGACCTTAAGGACCAGATACAGGATGTAGAAGGGAGATACATGCAGGGGCTTAAGGAACTAAAGGTATCAGGGCCCATTTTGCAGCCCAAGCATGTTCTCTGTACGCAGAAGTGTTGGTAATGGTGGTTTCACAAATTCTATTAACCCCACTGCACATAGCTTTACTAACACTGTTTGTCTTTCAAGCATGTGCTTAACCTGCAATGCATAGGAAAGGCGAACTTCCAATCTCTGCTTATGTTTAAATGTGTACTGTAGTTTTTGCAATATTCAGGAAAAGATATTATGCCTTACAGTTTTTAAACCTTATAAAATACTTATGTATCCCTTGTGTCTTAGCCTTACAAAATTGAGTTGGGCAAAAACCTAAAAAGAGTTCTAAGAATATTTTTTATTGAGAATTAGACCTTAAAATTCTTCCAAGCTAAATGAAAGAGCATTGCCTGTTTCTGTCACCAAATTCAGTCAGTATTAGGAGTGGAAGGAAGAAGCATCTAAGAGAAAGAGCATTATTATAAATATTCCTTCTGGAGGAAGGACCCTGAAGCATGAGGACTGTGTTTTCTTTTTGTTTTGATTGTTTTTCATATAGATCAAAAAGGGTTACACAGATTCGGTGCCTTAAAGAATTTGGAGGTAAATTTAAATGGGCCTTATTTTTTCCAATCAAGGATGCCTACCAGTTTTCAGTAGAAGTGTCCATGTGAGGCAGACATTTTAGTTGTAAATGGCACTTGATTATCATGCTCTTCCCTGTGTTTTCTTATGAAGTTCAAACCTGGTATTATGAATTACTGTAAGTTTCTCTGAATACATGTAGGTCCCTATTTGAAATAGAAATACACACCAGGCCACTAAAAATGCATAAGCAGGGCATTCAGAAAGGTGACTCAGGATATGCTCAAAGCACAGAGTGTAGACCAAATAGTTCAGGCTTTGCTCAGCCACCCAGCATGATTGGACTTAGCCCAGCTACCAGCCAGAAACTTCATGCAGGTGATTATGGTCCAGAAAGGGTGGGAAGGCCTATGGAGAGCGCCCCCGGGAAGCCTGGACACTGCTGACAGCAGTGTGTGGTTGTCGGTAAACATCAGGAAGATCCCAGAGTTAGTGAGCTGATGTGCTCAGTTAGTCTTACTGCTCTCATCTAAAGGATTTAATCCCCCTTTTAAGGTTTTAGAGATATGACTTGGAAATATCTTAGATCAATGGAACAAATCCAGTACATTCAATAAATACATTCATTTAAAAATCTCGTACGTAACATAATGTATCAGGAAAGCAAGTGATTCGAAGGCATTCTTACTCATTTTTTATTTTATCTTAAACATGTTCCCTTTACCTTTTAGATCTACCATTTATTTCATTTTTTTTTGAAAGATACAAAAAACAGATTAACCTTATTTGAGACTCTGAACAAATAAGTCCCCTTTTCTTAATTCATGGTTAGTGTATAATTGAACTTGACTTCAAATTATGTTTATCCTTGAAATGACTCTTTTAAATGGAAAAAAATCTTTTAAAAAATTATCTGGTTGGTGGTCAAAGCATGGTGGTGTGATATATCTATATTCTATTAAAAAAGGATGCTCAGTCATTGCTTATGACATTATTCTTAAGTATGTCTGCCTTTGAGGTGCTTTTTCCCCTCTCTGCCCTACCTCCACAGTCATCTGGGTCTTGTTATCACAGATTGCTGGACTCTACTCCCAGATTTTCTCATTCAGTAGGTCTAGGATGGGGTGGTTGAAAATGTGCATTTTTAGCCAGGTCCCAGATAATGCTGTTGCTTCTAGTCCAGCACCTACACTGAACATCGCTGCCTTAGACACGTTTAAGTAAAACTCATTCCTTATGGGTATCATTGTGTGACCTAGATTAAAATCATTAAAACTACCTTGAGGGAATTCGCTGGTGGTCCAGTGGTAGGACTCCGAGCTTTCACTGCTGAGGGTTCAGTCCCTGGTTGGAGAGCTAAGACCCTGCAAGCCGTGTGGCCAAAACAACAACAAACTACCTTGACACTTAAGTTTAAAATAGTCTTCTGTGGTCTTTTGTTTAAAGGAAAAAGTACACTCCATACATTTTATGTCAGTTTTATTATGTTATATATTGTGTCCTTGCAGCTACTGCTTGAACTGTCTTAGATTCTGGTGTTCATGCAGTCATGCCCCATTTTGTATGGGACTGAGTTGTGAGGAGGACTTCTTTTTTGCTATTAGTCTCTGAGATGGATCAGGATCATTCTAAATTCTGCATTGTGTTAAGATACCTACTATATTTGAACCATTATACAGTTAACTGGGCTTATATTCTTTATTTTGGGTGCATTTGTTCTCAATCATAATATAAATCTCACCTGTTAATACAGTCCTGGGTTGTGAAGAATTATTAAATGTATGCATATGTGTTTGTGTGTATCTTTATTGAGATATAAATAACATACCATAAAATTTACCCATTTAAAGTATACAATTCAGTGGGTTTTTTTGGCATAGTCACAGAATTGTGCAACCATCACCAATTTTAGAACATTTTCACTACCCCAAAAAGAAACCCCATACTAATCAGCAGATGTTCCCCACTCCTCCACTCCCACTCCTGCACCTAGCCCTGGGTAACCACTAGTCTATGTTGTCTTTCATGATTGGCTTTTTGTGTGTGTGTGTGCTGTACGCAGGCCTCTCACTGTTGTGGCCTCTCCTGTTGCGGAGCACAGGCTCTGGACGCGCAGGCTCAGCGGCCATGGCTCATGGGCCCAGCCGCTCCGCGGCATGTGGGATCTTCCCAGACCGGGGCACGAACCCGTGTCCCCTGCATCGGCAGGTGGACTCTCAACCACTGTGCCACCAGGGAAGCCCGTGATTGGCTTTTTACTTAACATAATGTTTTCAAGATCCATCTGTGTTATAAAACACATCAGTGTGTGTGTGTGTATACACGTATACACACACATATGTATACATATGTGTGTATACATATACGTGCATATATATACATACACACACGTGTGTGTGTGTGTATAAAATGTCTGAGTAGTATTCCACTATATGGATTTACTACATTTTGTTTATCCATTTGTGAGTTGATAGGCATTTGGATTGTTTCCAGTTTGGGGCTATTATGAATAATGCTGCTGTAAACATTTGTGTACAGCTTTTTGTATAGGCATATCTTTTCATTTCTCTTGGGTAGATTACCTAGCAATAGAATTGTTGGGTCATATGGTAACTCTATGTTTAACATTTTGAAGTGCTGCCAATTTGTTTTCCAAAGTAGCTGCAGTATTTTACCTTCTTCCCAGCAGTGTATGAGGAGTCTAGTTTTTTCATATCCTCACCAACACTTATCTTGTTTCTCATTTTTTGATTATAGATAATAACCATCCTAGTAGATGTGAAGTAGTATTTCATTATGGTTTTGATGTGCATTTCCCTAATCACTAATTATATTAAGAAAGTTTTTGTATTTTTGTTATTTTTTTTTGGTGGTATGCGGGCCTCACTGTTGTGGCCTCTCCCCTTGCGAAGCACAGGCTCCAGACGCGCAGGCTCAGCAGCCATGGCTCACGGGCCCAGCCGCTCCGCGGCATGTGGGATCTTCCCGGACCGGGGCACGAACCCGTGTCCCCTGCATCGGCAGGCAGACTCTCAACCACTGCGCCACCAGGGAAGCCCTTGTACTCTTATTGTTCATTTGTACACCATCTTTGGAGGAATATCTGGTCATATCCTTGCCCATTTTAAAATCGAATGATGTGTCTTTTAATTATTGATTTCTAAGTGTTCTTTATATATTCTGGATACAAGTTCCTTATCAGATATAAGATTTACAAATATTTTCTCCCATTTTGTGGGTTGTCTTTTTACTTTCTTGGTGGTATTGTTTGTAGCATAAAAGTTTTTGATTTTGATAACGTCTACTTTTTCTTTCATTGATAGACTGGTATCGTATCTGAGAAACCATTGCCCACTCCAAAGTCATGAAGATTTACTCTGTGTTTTCTGGGAAGAGTTTTATAGTTTTAGCTTTTAATTTAGGTCTCTGATCCATTTTGAGTTAATTTTTGTGTTTGGTGTGAAGTAGGAGTCCAACTTTATTCGCTTGCATGTGGATCTCAGTTGTCCCAACACCATTTATTGAAAAAAACTACTCTTTC